ATAAGTTATTTTGAATTGTTTAAAATTTTATCTATGTATATCTAGTTAGTCTATGGACCAACTAGAAATTTATTCATATAATTCTTACGAATTTTTAAAAAAAATCAATTCTTACAATTCTAATTTCACAATCTTGATTTCTACTTTCAAAATGTCTCAATCCGATTCTAACCAAAACGATGTTTCGGAACTTAAATCATACGATCCTGATTTGCTTTTTGACTCAACTATTTCTTTCTCAAAACACGTATTTGAAAAAAGTTTAGAAAAAATATATTCAAATGATGATACTGAACGATCAATTTCCTTTCGAAACTTAAGAAATTTTTTGAGCTTCAATTTGAAGAGATGAATAAGATCGAAGCTAATTCGAAGTTAGTGCATGATAGAAATGATTCTAATTTTAGTAAAGCCACTAATTTTAAAGATAAGATTTTACGTGGTCCAATATATAGTGTGAGACAACAACGTGATTATGTTATTGACGCGTACTTCGAACATTTAACTAAACTTGAAAAAAACAACTTGAATCGAACGAAAGTGAAGATGAAAAGAAAAATACAAAGAAGAGGAAACGTGGAGGAAAATAATTCATTAGTTTATTTATTTTATTTTATTTTATTTTTTTTTTTATTTTATATATTGTATTCTATTCCATATTTACCGAATAGATTTTTAGGTATGTGATGGCCCCGATTTATTATACTGAAACAATAAAATATAATGGTATCAACATATCCGTTAGACGGAGTAGACGGATACAGAATTTACCAAAACTTAACTACGAAACAACTATTCGAAAGAAAAAACCTATAACCAAATATTTTTGTGAACAGTGTAATTATTTTCACAAGAAAAAACAATGTAAGAAGAAACAAGTTCCTTATTACTGCGAGAAATATGCCGATTTTCGGGTTCAAAAAAAATGTGATAAATGTGCAAATTTTCTGATAGAACCAGAAGATTTCGATGAAACGTTATCAGATTCCTCTTCAAATTCTAATATTAACGATCAAACGTATTATGAACCTGATGCAAAAGATTTTGTAATACGTAATAGGTTCAAGTATATACATAGTCAAAATGGTACTTTATTAGAAGATTCTCAACTTTATTTTAGTGATAATGAATTGATGATGGACGATTCGTCGTCTTCAAATACATGTAATTCTCTTTAATTAGTTTTATACCGATTAAAAAATTTTCTACGTAAATTTATTTCTCATTTTTATCAAACCATGACAGAATATCACGTTGCAAAAGATACTTATTCCCTGTTACAACAAGAAGAAGCGCAACTTCTTTCTTGGAAAAATGCTATCGAATCTATGTTTGAAAGTGGAATTACTTTTGATTGTAAAATTTCAATGGTTAATGAAATTAAAATGAGACTTAATGCAAATGTTAATCTGAAACAACGCCAGAAAGCAACTATCGATAAATTTGAGTCTCAACGTCTTTATTTTTCATTATATATTCTTGTTACTCCCAAGAAGGAAATTTGGATGAGTCTAAGAAACAACCCAAACAAAGATTTTTTCGGTTATTATCAGGTGGCAGGTGGTTCGCTTAATCCTGGAGAATCGTTTAATGATTGTGTTAAACGTGAAGTTTTAGAAGAGACCAATATAGCTTTAGAAGAATATGATTTTATCGTATTCGATGAAGGAATCTAGCATTTTCCCAATAAGGGTGAACGTTTATTTAAAACAGCAATTTACTGTGGTATTACCGATAAGATTCCTGAACAAACAGAATCAGATAACAATGGCTTGTGGGAAAAATACACCTTTACTCAATTCAAGAATATGAAAGTCACAGATTCTTTACGTCTTAAAGAAAGTATTATTATTGAATCGATTTTAAACAAATTCAAGTTACATCGTTATACTAAAAAATGTAGGGTTGAAGAATCTGCAGCATCTTCTCCTTCACCAGTCCCTGAGAATATTGATCATATTGAGAATATTGAGGAGGAAGAAGGTGCTTTAGAAAATTAAACCAATAGTTTCATTTTATTTTTTTATTAATGTATTTACGAGTTATAAATAAATCAATCTAACTAGTCTATGACCGGTTAGACTTTTAATTACGTAATTCTGAAATGACTGAAAAAAAAGTAAGTTGAACGTTTCATCTTACTTTGTATTTGTAAATTCAAATTACGCTGTCATAGAGAGATAGGAATATATTCTGAATGCTAGAGTATGATGAAGATATATTCTATTATTTCTCGAGAAACTGATATCAGAGTTAAAGTTATATCTTTGAGATGTCGGTACTGCAAACATTGATGAAGAGAATTTTCGTACTCAAATTTTTTATTTATTTTAGATATCGAATTATAAATCGGGACATAATTTTGAAAATATTGTACGAAAGATAGCTGAAATAAATAGATTATTAGCATTTGAAATAAAAGTAACTCAAGGCGATAATGGTATCGATATTATTTTGACTCATAAGGAAAAACTTATTCTTATACAATGTAAGAATGTAGAAACTCCTATAAATGTTCATATTGTAAGAGTTTTTGAGTCGGCACTTTCAAGATTTTCATCAGATTCTCTAAGACTTATTGTATACAATAGCAAAAAATTAGAAGAAAATTTTGCTACTTCTAAAGCTAAAGATTGGGCGTTTACGTCTAAAAAGAATATCAAAATTTGTAACGAAAAAGAGTTTGTTGAAATCATCAAGAATTTTTTTGAAAACGATAATGATGATCATATCAAATTGATAAATTATACCGCAGATAGTTTTGATTTAATTAAATTGGTTGGAAAAAATGTTTCTGTAGGTAAAATTATTATTCGTAAAAATAAAAATGTACATAGACTTATCCCCTATTAGTATCTGTTTAGTTTAATACTGAACAGATTTTTCTTAGAGTATTTCCTTCTAATAAATTTATTATCGTTTAAAATGCATCAAACTATTTTTCTATGTTTATTACTTTCATTTATCTTTTTCTTTTTGGTTTTGATTAAGACTACAAAGAAAACAAAGATAATTGTTTTTACTGGAACTATCGGTGTTGGCAAGACTACTTGTGCTAAATTATTCGAATCTTTTCTTAAAAGAAAAGGATTTACCGTAAAATGTTACAAAGAAATTTCATTGCAAGTTAACGAAGAATTTCATATATTCAATAAAGACAAACCGAAGAATTTTTTTTTTTTCCAATACATTTTGTTACATCACTTTAAACAACAAATTTATGAAATTAAAAAGAATAATTTTAGTTTTTTATAGTTCCTATGGAAGGTTGATTATATTATTCTCAATTGTACTCAGAAGGATATGAAGATGTTCAATAAATTTTTCCAAAATCCGAGCGAGAAAGAATATATCGACAGAAAAGTTGATGAGATCGAACCACTTGACTTCTATAAGGTTGTTTTTGTGACTATTCCAATCAAAATGTCTTTTGAACGGCAGCAAAAGAGAGCTCGTTTAGATGAATTGGTCAAAAGGGAGTATTTGGAAATGCTTAATGCTTATTACCTTGAAGATATTGATTTGGTTTATCCTGAGAATTTAAAATTTGAAAATATTGTTAATCTTTGTGGTGGTGATGATTGTGCACAATGTCTCGGTGTTAAGATCTACGAGAATTTCTTTAATACTCTTTTATAGCAATTTTATTTTTTATTTATTTTTTATATTATTTATTATTAAATTATCCAACTAAATGATAACCGGTTGGATTTTTAACTATGTAAAAAATGAATTCTTCAAATATCAACAATCTACCAAACGAAATTCTAATTTTAATATTGTACCATATTTTTCAAACAAAAATAACCTTATCTGATTTACCAACCACTTTATCTATCAAATTAGTTTGTAAACAATGGTATGATTGTTATCATTCATTATTCAAGACTCACGGAACTACATATATTTTAACACCCAATACACATACAATTGAAGATTATACTCCTATCAAAAAATCAGAATATTATTTTAAAATTGATGGCGCATTAGTTATAGAAATTAACACTTCAATACAAACAAGACTACAAACTTATGAAGAATATGAGCTTTCTAAAAAAGAATGTGAACGATGTTTAGAAAAACAAATTCTTTTTAAGCATAGCTTTTGGTTTAAAGAAAAACTTGATTGTAAAGTGTCAAAATGTAAAAGAAGAAATCGAAGTCATCATAATCACGAGATTTGCAAGAAATGTTATGAAATTTATGAAATTTATTTTTTAAGTTTTGACAATTTGGTTTTTTTTGTTTAAGTCTAATCAGTTTATTTAACCGATTAGAATTTTATTGATATAATCTGAAAATAAAATCGATTAATATCAACAATCTACCAAACAAACTTCTAATTTTGATTTTCTATTATATTTTTCAAACGAAAATAACCTTATCTGATTTACCAACCACTCTATCGATCAAATTAGTTTGCAAAAAATGGTACAAATATTATTTTTCATTGTTCGAAATCTATAGAACCAAATATATTTTAACACCTGCTACATGTACTTACGAAGATTATACTCTTATCAAAAAATCTGAATTTTATTTTAAAATCGAGGATGGAGAGTTGATCATAGAAATTAGCAAACAAATACAAATAATGCTGCAAACCTCTGAAGAATATAAATTATCTAAAAAAGAATGTAACCAATGTTTAGAAAAAACAATTCTTCAAAAGTGGTTTATGATTTTTAAAGATCAATTTTATGATTGTAAAGTTTCGGGATGTTCTTCTAAATCAGCATACCATTTTCATGAGATATGCAAAAGTTGTTATGAAATTTACTTTTTGAATTTAGAATATTTATCTAATCGTAATTCTGTATTTTGCTATTTGAAGAATGAGAATTAAACTATCTAGTTTTATAACCAGATAGTTTTTTTCAGATGTAAAATAGATTCTTTATCAAACGAACCCGAACCGACGTTATATTATCGTTCAGAATTAATAGTACCGATCGAATCAAATCGATTTTACATATACGATGCTATTGATTCCACATCCCAACCCGATAAAAAATATATGTTATCTTTGTTGACTATTCGGGAAGATAGAACAAAATTCACAATCAATATTTCTGTAGATTCGGCTTATTTTGATATTAAACTTTATCCTGAAAATAATTTTATATATTACATTCTTGAGTTTGAACCAGATAGTTACGAAAGAATCGAACGACAACCTTTCGATTTAACGGAAAAATATTATTTTTTACGGTTGTATTTTCGTAATCAACGAAAACGTAAAGAAGCTTTACAAAAACTCACGATAAAACGCGACGATTTTATTCAGAATCCTGAAAATTCTCGATTCAAAAGTATAGAGGAATTTGATAGATACTATGACACATATTCGGATAATGAGACATGCTACTATAGAAAATTCACAAGTAAAAATGATTTCGAGTTAGTTGGATGGTACGAAATCACTACCGAAACTATTTGCGACAACATGTTGATTACTTTAAATGATATAAAGAAACTAGATTACTATGAGATACCTAAGCTTTTGTTATTATATTGGGATATTGAAACTTCATCGAGTCGTGGTCCAGGATATTTTCCTTTAGCAGAGAATGAAGAAGATTATGTTTACATGATTCAATTTGACATTGTTTTTTACGATCAAACATCTCCTATTCAACGATTTTGTTTATCAACCATACCTATCAATAGTGAACGATTCAATCGGAAATATCCTGAAACATCAATAATATTTATTGAGTTAGAATCCCAAGAAAAACTTTTATTAAAATTCGCTGAATTATTCAGAAATTTTAAACCGGATTTCGAGATAGGATATAACACAGGTTAATTTGATTGGAATTACATACTTAAAAAAGTTAAACTTTTACAGGTCGATGATAAGTTTACTAGAATATTGACCAAAACAGAAACAGATATGCAGTTTCAAGTAAATCGGGTAACTGTCAAAGTTGTCGACAGAGACATATCGAAAGAAAACTTGAAATATGAATTTGCCAGTATCAATATGTTCAATCGAAACATAAAGGTATCTCCGACCGAGAATATGCAATGTGAATTTATGAGAGCTCCAGGAACTGTATTTCTTGATTTTCTTGTTTGGGCCAAGAAAACATTTCAAACAGAGATAACCAACACGCTTGATGCTGTGTTAAAACGCTGCAGCCTTTTTGGGAAAATCGATCTGCCGTATGTTCCCACTAAAAATTCTACCGATCTACATTGCATGTTTGTTTATGCGAATGCGATAAAGTTTAAAAATAACAAACAAATGCTGGACAAATTATCTGAACAGTTATCAAAAATGATCAATATCTCTATTTCCTTTTGTCTATCAGCATTCTATGTTCCTGATTCGATTCTACAAGATTATGCTATCGAGTTAGCTTATTATTGTTCGGTTGATACTTTACGATTACATGAATTAAACATTAAAAAAAATATAATAGGAGATTATATTCAACGAGCAACTATATCATGTGTAACTATTTCAAATGTTTTCACTAACGGAGTCGGTTGTTTGGTACAAAATTTAGTTTGTAGATGTGCTGCTTCAGATAAAATTTTAGTTTCTTCTCGTCGTAAAGGAACAGTCCATCAAGGAAAATACGCAGGAGCTTTAGTTATTCCTCCTAACAAAAACATTAAAAGGCCCGTTGCGAATGTTGATTTCACATCATATTATCCCCATTCTATAATTCAGAATAATATCTCTCTAGAAACATGTGTATCAAAAGAATCTGCAGATCTATCATTAAATGTTATAATCGATAATGGTATTGTATATGGTAAATTTGTTTCGCACAATGGTATTATCGAAAAGATGGGGATTATGCCTTTGATGTGTAAAGAATTATTAGAGAAAAGAGCAGAAGCAAAAAA